GAGCTACATGCACTGTACTAAATAAGCCATGATAGTCTGTAATTTTTTTTCTCTGATGAAAAAAATCATTGATTTTGCTTTGAGCCAGTGATATATAAGCTGGACACAATGGAAGGAACACTTAATAGGTAGCCAGACTAATTATGTCTCAATTAGAGATTAACTAAGTATGGTTTGAAAGAAGTGAAGTACACTAGAACAAGACATTTGGAAAGTACTAAGGCTGACAGCATTCACATAACAAAGGTCACTGTTAAGTTCAACAGGGATCTAATTTAAAGTTAATACCTCAGGTGAGTTTTAGAATTTGACCATTTAATGCTAAGTGTCAGGCCACTCAGTAGAAAGGTGACCATACTTACTTCTCGTTAATTGGCTGTCTTCAGCAAAATTGCCAACAAAATAGAAAAAATGAATGAAAAGTCCATGTAATCCTTATAACATGATAGACCATATCTTGAGTCAATGCGGGATAAATGGCAGGTTTTTACCTCTGAGTTAATAAATAGGACAGACAAATACACCAGTACATCTTACCCTCTTGCTCGTCCAACTACATCTTTTCTCTCTAACCACATCTGACCAGGAGCATAGAGACCACGGTCATCAACTGAGTTATTGTCACCTTTTGTTAAGAATTTTATTGATCCATTCTCTCTGAAGAGCAAAATTCATTTTAGTTACAATGATTTTATAGTTCTTGCATAAAACAAGCTGGAAGCCAAATTTGCCTTTGCAGTTTCAGGAAAAAAATTTAGGGTTGGGAACTTGAAAAGGAGAAAAGTGAACTTTTTGGGCTAGTCAGGGTATTACAGCATTAGCATTAGTTATAAGTGGTCTGATGCACATATATGTACATACAATGTATATATGCCACACTGGGTATAAAAAAACTAAAAAGGAAATACTGGTTACCATTATCTAAGTACTCTCCATTGAGTACAAATAATACCCAAGATGAAAACAAATATCACGCAGCATTTGAACTCCAGAGAACCAGTTAGACAAGTTTTCTCGCATCGCACAAGGGACAGATTGGATTGAAATTACAAAAAAAGAAAAAAAAAAAAAACTGGTAGACCTTTTAAATAATTTTTCTGACGATGAAGAGTTGGAATCGCTGGAGAATATTGATCCAACTTTATTGGATAAATCGAATGAAGAACATAGTTAAACAACAATGAAATTTCATCATTTATGGGAGAAAATAGAAACAGCAACACAACAACGTGCTAATTCCATCCACATCACAATCTCCTCATAAATAAATGTCCAAGAAATTCATCCACACTGAAATAACAATTTGCCCTGTTGGATAACAAATAACTTATTCTTAAAGATGTTTTGGTGTATTGTATCACTGAGTATTTTTATGGTACAAATCATAAAAATGGTCAGCAATACTACACAACAAAATGTCTAATAAGATATATATTTAACAATTAATCGCCGAAGGCGAGTTGAATATCGTTGAATAATCCCCGAGAGAAAGTCGAGGGGATTATTCGACAATATTCAACGCACCTGAGGCGAATCATTGTTTTAGTATAATTTCAGAGCAGAGCAACGGAGAAATTTCTAAAATCATAACATTTTAGTAACATTTATTAACATTTTATTTTAACATTATTATAACATTTTATATAAACTGTGTGGAGCGGTTTATATAGCGTCATACAAGGAACCGCTTGACCAATCAGATTGCTGGAAACTCTTTGCTCAGCTCTGAAATTATATATATCAAACTATTCAATGCAAGTATCTGTGGCTTCTCAGGGCAACTTGTTAATAATGGAAAACTCAAAATGAGAAGAATACATTTTAAGATGCACCTCTCGCAACAGGAGAGGTTCAGAGCAATGTACTAGAACATATGCACTAATCATTGACCACACACGGGATATTTACCAAGGAATATCCAATGAGGTGATTACATTGTTTCAGTATACAGATATGCCTTTAGGATAGTGTGTGTAGCAGAAAAATATAAGTGTCAACCAAGCTACCTATGGTATACCATGAAAAGGGCATCATATTACTTTTTTTATAACATACCCAAGAAAAAACATAATCAGCAAAATTGGCAAGAATAACAGTGCTTAGTAGAATTTAGGGACTGAGGTATCGTCCTCATTCATTTTCATGGACTTTTCGATTTCCAAATGAGCATTCAGTCTGGCTATGTAATTTTTATTACCAGGGAAAATAACCGACTGCAATCGTTGACTCTTGAGATGAGTAGTCAAAACCTTCGGTACGAATAGCTAAACGAAGATTGTTAGAAGCCACTTTTGAGACACAATTCACACGGAAGCTAAGTACTTGACGAAGAAAATGTTACTGAAATTAAGAGAAGAGGAAAAATTACACTCTTACTTTTCATGTATCTTTAAAACTCGGTGAACGATAGGTATTTCACGCCCTTCAACTTTAAATACAACGATTTCTCCAACACGAATTGGATCTTCTTTATTCGTGAGAAACAAAAGGTCGCCGCGCTGAAAAGCTGGCTCCATGCTTCCACTGAAAGATAAACAAAAACATCAGCATCATTAAATGCTTCATACTTCCATAACATAACATCAGGATAAGATATAAAATGGGTTTTAGAAGTTATCTATTTTTTATTTACCTCAAAACTACAACTATAGGACTCTCGCTTCCAGTAACCACCATTAATCCTTTCCAGATCATGAGAGCAGATGAAACTATCATGGCAAAATTCAATCCTTGATAAAAGAGCTGGGGAGTGAAATTCGGTCTGTTAGAATAAAGCAGATTTTTCTACATTTTATTACAATAAAATTCCATTAAAGCCAAAGTATAACCTGTCTTTTATTCATCCGTCTCACATCTTCGAACCACGATGAGATGTCCATGATGGCGAACACGTGTAATACGCAAGCGCATAATGTTGAAGGGTGATGGATTAAGGATGGAACACTGGAACAAAGGACGGTGGATGTTAACAGTACGAGAACAAAGGCTGAAAGTTTCTAAAGAAACTGTGATGCTGCGTCGGTGGGGGTAACAAGGTAATTTGGTTACATCAACTATGTTGAAATTGTAAATTGGCCACCGTAACGAATAAAAAGGCTGACGTTTAGAGCGTTAGCGTTAGCTCTGAAAAAGGGCTAACGCTCGAAACGTCAGCTTTTTTATTCGTTACGGTGGCCAATTTACAATTTCAACTTAGTTCCTATAACCAAGGTACAAGAACAAATATTAATGTCATCGTTCTTTACCGTACAACTTCGGAGGTGAACGTAACCATATAACTAGATTCTGAAGATGTGATTTGGAGAGTATGGAGTGTCAAGTTTTGGAAAAATGTCGAGAATACGTAATACACCTTTGCATTCAGCGTGCTTTTTTATCTAAGAAAGTTTCGTCTAGTTAGTATTGACAAAAAAATTCACACCTGAGTCTTTCCCTTAATTTGATTTTTTGAAATCTCTCAAATTCTGGACAGGCAAGTGACCAGCCGCAACTGGGCTAGTTTCTCGAGGGAGGAAGACATAGGGCCCTGGGAACGAGACCGATGGCGCGACGGCTTCTGCATGTGAAAACACCGTGTCCCAACCAATCCGAGTGGACGGAGAGGGGAAGAGGCGGGTAAAAAAAGAAAAGACCTGGGCGTAAAAGAGGCGGATAGCAGCAACCAACGGATACATCACAATCCAGGGATAAGTGATAGCAAAACTTATAGCGTTATCCACTGCCGAGAGGTAGCTCAATGGATAGAGCGCTAGAGCGCTGGACTGTTGTGCGGGAGGTCGAGGGTTCAAGCCCCGGCCGGACCACTACTCAAGTTCGTAAAATAATTGAGAAGAATATGCTACCTTTCAATAACATTAAGAAATGGTTAGATATTCTAGTCTTCTCGGATAGGGAGGAATAAATGGAGGTCCCGTCTCCTAGGGGGTAGGAGACGTTAATTTCCCACGCACGAGATTACTATGTGATGGATGTCCTCACCTTGGGTGGGATGGATGGGATTTATTGGGTGGACTACTCGCATGGTTCGCATATGTTCCGTTCTAGTCCTACCCTACTGCGGCAAGGCACTGAAAATGGTTAGAAAAAAAAAAAAAA